TTTTTCTTTGTAAATATTTAATAATATTCTTTTTATCAATTTAACAAGTTCAGAGTCTGTTTTTTTTTTTTTTTTTTTTTTTTACGAAGTATTTGTAGTTTGTTATCATTTTTAATTATAGAAAAAAAATACACTTTAATATAACAATATCAAATTTAATTAAACACATTAATTAAATTTAATGCTTTTATTTCAAATTACTATAATAAATTGATTATTAAATGATAATAATTAAGATTCATGTATTTATATTAGATATATTAATCATCAGAGGAGAATTTAGAAGGGAGATGGCAGGCCCCTAGCCTCTGTTGGTTCCTTAAAATCAGTTTAGATAAGTATATTTTCATCTAAAAAATGGTAAAATCATATTTTGCTCCCCAAAAATTAATAGTTTAGCCCTTCTTTAAGAACAATTGTAATAGTATGATAAATCATATATTGTTAAAAATTTTACTTGTAGATGCAATAAATAATTTTATTTTCTTTCCTTTTTCAATAAAAAAATTTACCTTTTTTAATGTAATCATTATTATTTCATTGAATATTTTAGTTCCATAAAATGAATTTTTTTTTTCAATTAACTAAACAAAGCATGTTGAAATTAATTATTAAGTCAAAATATTTTTTATATAGACAAAGAAAAATACAATTAAAGAAATTCAATTATCTAAATATATTTTGCGCATAAAATTTCAAATTTAATTGTACATTATAATTTTTTTTTTTAAATTTTCGCCAAACTTTTCATTTGTAAAACTCAAGCTTTTATTGTATTACTTTTATTCTTTATTTTTTCAAAAAATAATTAGTTGGATTTTAATTGTTCTTAAATATCCAAGAAATTTAAAATTTTTTATTTAATTACATAATTATTTTATTTAACATTAATTTTATTATTAAATTTTTATCAATTCACCTTACTTTTATATTGGTCCCTCCAAAATAAAAACCTAACTTCGACCCTATTAATTATATAAGAATAAAATCATTATTCGTGCATTTAAAAATTATTTGGATATTTAATTTTATTATGATTATTGTTTATAGTATGTTTTAAATTTTATCAAAATTTTAATTTTATTATTATTTGATGTCTTAATTATATTATATGTATTATATATATATTTTAAACAAGTGATTAAATAGTATTAATTTATATTTTTACACATTTAATAAATAAAAATAATCTGTGCACATGAGTAGTAAGATGGTTTTATTATAAAACAATTACTTTAATTTAATTTTATTTTAAAATATTTACAATTTTTTTAATTTTTAATAATAAACTAAAAAAGTTTGCTTGAGTGGACAAGTACACCATACCCCGAACAAGCTTTTAGAGATGTTAATATAATTTAACCCAATCTGGTTTATGAACAATTCTACTTAGTTGCATGGAGACAAATGATCTTATAATACCAACTGAATTAATTTTTTATCGTAAAAAATAAGATACTTCACGCAATAAAAATTAAAGTTGAGTCATTAATCAATTTGATATTGAAAGGGCTCTAATTTCAAGCCACCAATGTTTTTGTTTGTACTTTCAAGTCCTAAGACAATCGTCTCCTCACCAATCAAGATTGTGGGGACATTGAAAGCCATTGGAAGCTAACACTGAAAAGATTTCATGGTAATTTGTTAGTGAAGAATTTCACCTACCCACTTTGTTTTTTTTTTTTTTGCTTTATTAGTTGGAATATGTCTTTTATTCAATATTCAATGATTTATTTTGGCATAAATCTAGAGAACATATCAAATCCATCTTAAATCAAAAACAAATATTTAATTATGTTACTACTAGTATGGTAGGAATACCTACTAAACTAAATCTTTTTCTAAAGCAGATTATTTTGACTGCCTCTCCAACAAAAATTACAAAACTTTTTTTTTTTTCAAAGCTTTCAACGTCGTGATCAACTTCACGTGCAAATAGTACGTTATTATATACATACATATATATATATATATATATATATATATATAAAGAAAGAAAGAAAGAAATTCATGTGATATGTGTGGGCTAAATGTGTCCATGGACCAAGTCTGCGGTCCGAACATAATCTTAAGTTTATGTAAAATTTGGGTCCGTTCAATGTATATATTTATATACTATTAAATTATTAAAAGTAATTTTAAATATAATTTTTAAAATTAAAATAAATATTTATTATTAATATGATAATATTATTAAGTCGAACTTAAATCTTAAAAGTTATGTTCTTGCCTACTTGAGAAAATAGTTTATTGTTGACACGTCCACTGATGGACTTCAAGTTTTGCAGAAATTCTAAATTAGAGTGTTAATCAAGACAAAAAGAAAACCCATTAAACTCTTCAAAAATCAATAGTTGAGCTCGGGTAAATATTGCTTTTATATATATCTTCCCATTTCTCTTCTCTCTTGTGCTTGTGTGTCCATTTATCATCAATCCATAAAAAGTTATATTTCATGGTAAAATTTTTTAGTTAAGTTTTTTTTTTTTATTAATTTTCTTTAACATCTACCTAGCTATCTGATTGAATATTCTCTTATTTTCCTAATTATCCAAAAAAATCTTTTCTTCAAAGCAATATCACAAAGTTACAGAAATTTTTAATAAGAATATTATTCAATTTATCACCAATAAGTACAAATACAATCTAATAATTAAACTTTGATAGATATGATATTGTCAATATTTATACACTATAGTTTTGAATAAAAATTTGAAATAGAATTAAAGAAATCCGCATGAAGTTAAATTGGAATTTGAAATTGTTGAAAGGTCTATTAGGCAAGGGCCCTCAAGACTTCATTATTTTTTAAGTGTATATGATCTTAGATTACGTAATAAAAAATAATTCTCTTATTTTATAAATATCACTTTGATCAGAATTTAAATTCGAAAATTTTAAATTAGACTATTAAATTCCCAAAAAATACTTATTTTTGCATGAGAGACCTAGTCATAGACATAAAATTTGATGCTACCATTTAATAAAAACAAACTGAATTTCTTTGTTTGGATTGAAATCTAGGGAGTAAACCAACCAGGTCCCTGATGCAGATATACCTGCTCCTGGACTCTTGGTCACAAATTAGCCTTCACTGAAATGCCACTGCCAAAATTTTCCACATTTAGCAGTTGTTAGGGTTCAATCAAACAATGAAGGGAATATTAATTTTTGGTTGTCTTGTCCTTGGCTTTGAGGGTTTTTGAAAAGGATAGGTTGGATATTTGTTGAGTGCCCTTAAAATCATGCATTGGTTGTTCACTTTCCTGAGGCTGAGGTTTGGCCTCTTTGGGTTGACTCAATTTTTGGGGTCCCCTGCAGGGTATGGGTCATTAGTGGCAGACACCAAGTCTTCTGCTTTGTTTTTATTTGTTGTTTTCAATTTAGCAGCCCTTACAAACATCCAATACGTAATTAATGTTTCCATATCACAAGATGTTTTTGAATTATCGTTCCATACGTCAACGGATAATAAAATTCAATAATATCAAAGTATAGTAGACCTCACAATTCTTATGCTTGTATCATACAAAATATTAATAATTTATGTATTTATATCGTGTTTTACATAAAAATTGTATGTCACTACTTTTGTTGACATGAAAAACATGAAATATATATTTTTATTAAGCTCATAATTTTGAATAAAATTTTAAATTTTATTACTTTCATATATTTTTTAATATTGTTTTTGTATTATATCATTGAGTTATATTTTAAATTACCAAGTCTAAAGTACAGTAGAGTAATAAAATTAAATATTGAACTATAATATAGTTTCAAATTTGACTTTATCTCGAAGATTAGGTATAGTGTTTAATTTCAACATTACCGTGCACCCTTATTGCCTTCATATAAAATTATATCTAAATAGCATATTTCTATATTGCTATCTGTTTCATATAATCTTTTCCTTGCAATTTAAGATAGTAGAATTAAAATTAGCCATTTCACACCACGCAAGGATTTCAAAGTAGTGGTCTCTCTTTAAATGTGAAAACCAGAAAATCAGGATTTTTTTTGTTGCCAAAATTCATCATAACCTTAAAATCTTTTTAATGTACTTGACATTGATTTTTTCCAAATGTTGTAGGTAAAGAACAATGTGGTGAAGTGATCGTGTCAATTCACCTAAACACCACCAAATTACCCCTTCAAAGCAATGACGAAATGGCATCGTCTTAAAATATGACAGCAAAAGATGACCTTATGTTTTGGTGTAATTTGATTTTTCTTTTCAATGTAGACTTTTTGTTTTGTAATTTTGTATATAGTTAAGCTGGTTCTTGGTATAGAATTCATAGTAGTTGTCTCCCTTAATTTCCAATTGGGCAATTGCTCCAATTAGCTGTCTGCCTTATTTCAATCAATTTTATTTGATAGCTAGTAGTTCTACTTCTACATGTCAAAATCAGTATAGTTGGGCAACTTATTATTATATTGCAAACTCATTTCTTTTCTCTAAAATTAGGTGTGTGCGCCCACGTGTATGAATAAATATTATAATCATAATCAAATAATTTAAAATTTTTCAATTTTAAAATATATGAATAATTAACAAATAAAACAACGCAAGAAATATTTATAAAGTTATTACAAACCCAAATATATAATAAGATTTGAACCTGAAATCTAAAAGTATATTTTTTACTTTTAAAAGGTAGGGGTAACGCATAGATGAAATGTGCTTAAAAGTCTGAGTTGTATTGAATTTCGTTGTACTTTTACATATATTTTCCTTTGTGTCACAATTTTTTTTTTCTATAAAATGTTTTACCATTTCATTAGTATGAGCATTACATTTAGTATTTTACTTATATTAATCATGTATACCAATTTTCAAATCTATGAGACATTTCTCATCATTTTTATTTGATTTGACTTCAAATTTTGATATGAATAATGGGCAACGGATATAATATGTGATTACAACTGATAATAGCAAGCAGATATTTTAATAAAAAAGGTTGAGAAAAGTATAGTATATATCCATGTAAGTATTAAACAAATACGATGTGAATCACATTAAAAATTTATATGCAAAAGGACACAGCACTGTATTTGTAAAAACTGACATGCATGTGAGAACAATTGGATAACACCACCTACCCACTTACATATGTTGTATGGTCATTGGCTTGGAATGGAGAAAATTTTGGTTTGGTTCAAACTTCATTCTAATTAACTGAACAAGTTAGGAAAACCTGCCAAATTTATAACAAGGTATAAATTTACTGTTGAATTTGATTCGGATAGGAGAACTGTGTGGTGATCGAAGAGGGCCAGATGTGATGATGACCCATGCCCATATCAGCTTCTGGTTCCAGCAGCATGTCATACATGTCAGGGACTGGTGGCTCAGCAGCATCCTTTGACAAATTGTCCTGGTTTTCATTTCTGGTTGCTTCCAGGCCAAGTTCATTTTCCAAGTAATGCAACCACTTGTTATTTTCAGCTTCTTTGCTGTATCCATCTCCAAAATTTGTGCTCTGGTTGCCCTCAACCTCATTTGATTGGATTTCATCAGATTGGAATAATCCTAAGCTATCCAACATATTCCAAAAGTCCAAATCTGACTCCAATGGGATATTGAAGGCAGTATCTGAGATCTCAGGCTTGTTCACCTCCTCTGATATGTTGTTTGTATCACAAACTCCTATGAAGTTGAACAGTGAATCTGATTGATTTTCTGGATTTGAAACATCAACCTGACTGGCATTGGTGATGTTGGAAGACATTGAAGAACTTGACAATTCTTTTGGCTCCTCAGAAGGGCTGCAGTTATGGTTTGATAGCACAGCATTGAAATCTTGTGTTTTATCTGATACTGCCACAGCAAATGCCTCTCTGGGCATTTTGTTCACAGACCCTTCATCCCATTGTTTCTCATGTTCAACCTCTAAATTTCTTTTGCCACATGATGATGACACGAATGTAATAGATGAACATGATGCTGATGAGGTCATAGAACATTGCTTGGATTCATCTTTTTGAGGAATATTTCCATTCTTTGAAGCCAATTTCTTTTTCAAATGAGTGTTCCACACATTCTTTATCTCATTGTCTGTTCTTCCTGCTAAATGTGATGCAATTTTGGACCACCTGGGAATTAATTTAATTTTTACATAAGCAATTAAAAGAAAAGTTGACCAAAAAAAGCCAAATTAAATCAGATTAAAGCCTATTTCTAATTTGAAACTCACTTGTTTCCCAAAGTCTCATGTAACCTTATTATTGTCTCTTCTTCCTCTTTGCTGAAGTTCCCTCGTTTGACATCTGGCCTCAGGTAATTAATCCATCTTAAACGGCAACTCTTTCCACATCTTAGTAGCCCTACAACACAATCCAAACAAAGAATGTGAACTCTAGAAAATTGTGTGCTAAATTTTAAGTCTAGCAGAAAACTTCTTTAAAAGTCTTCTCTCTGTTGAGATAGTGACAGAAACAATGGTGACATTGAAATGCTTTTGCCTTCTCATCTAATAAAAGACCAAAAGGAAGAGACAACTTTCTGTATGTTGGGATGTTTATATCAGATAGGGAAAGCATAAAACGAAAATCATCGGCGTGTTAAGATGTCACATGTTTCGCATTAAAATATGAAGAAATCAATTCATTTTTCTTTATCAGCTTGGATCAGTCCTGAAAGGGATGTACTAGGCAAACCCAGACACCTCTTACCGCTTAAAAAGAAACTAAATTTAAGTGCTGTGGAAACTTCTTGTATATAGTTTAAGAAATATAATTCACTTTTCATTGTATACTTTTCCTACTTCTATTAGTTTTTCTATTTTTAATAACAAAATGAAAGTTCGGTTTAAGGTCAAACAAATTTGGAAGCAAGATTTAGGCTCTAGAGGCCTAGTGACAAATCCGATGTGACCATCAATTGTTAATCAGCCTCATTTTTTAGGTAGAAAATTTCCCAACTTGTGAGAGACGTGGGAATTTAAAAGGTTTAGTATAAAACAAGGGAAAAGTAGATTCTTGGATTGACCTTCTTATCTCAACAAAACCGGCCAAACACCAACAATAAAGTAAATGTGTAAACCAAAAACATTATGCCAAAACATGTACAAATCAAACTTCTTACCAAAACAAACAAATATGAAGAATTCAAACATTTTGCTCAACTAAAACCGATAATCAAGATGAATCATTTATCGACTAAGGTTTTGCATAAACTAATCCGACTGAGTTCCGGAAGTAGACAACTCTGGATAATGACATACATATGCTCATACAGGATGACATTATCAGGTTTAAATTCTGGTAGCTTCAAATACCCAAAAAAAAAAAATGACATTAAAGATGGTGTTGTATTGGTGACCATAACAGCGAAGAAATTCAGTGTATCAGAATCTTTTTTGAAGACTGAGGTTGACAAATAGTAAGAAATTGGCAGTATGTGTAGATTTGAATTAGTTCTTCATTGCAGCAAACGTTTCAAACTTGCCTTCCCATCTTTGCTTGGTAAAAATATTTATTATCAATAAACAATGAAACAGTAACCAGCCAATTTTACAGATTATTCTGCAATGCCTTCTTCTCCATATGGTAATTGAGAAATTGAACAACAGGGTGGTTTAAGTTTGATAAACATGGTTAAAGACAAAAACAAAATGAGAATGGGATCAATGAAGAGAAAACAGAACAGAATAATAGGTGATGAGCATTCAAAAAACAGAGTCGAAAGTTTAAAATTTTGTTGGCAATGAAACAAATAAGAATTCCATTGGTTAATTCAATGACCAAGAACAAATAAAAAGATGTTGTTTCAATGCATGAAGCTATGAATAACATTGACTCCCTGGAATGATTTTATGATCAGATCTGACAGAGAAAGAAAGGAGAAGAGACTGACCAGCTTGTTTAGGAAGAGCTCTCCAGTTCTCATGTCCATGTTTCCGAATAAAAGTGATAAGCCTCAAGTCCTCTGCTGGACTCCATGGACCTCTCTTCACTTTGTCTTTATCACAACATGGAGCTCTTCCTTTCCCCATATCTGATCTCCAACCAAACGTTTTTTTTTTTCTTTCTTGGAGGCTCACTCACTCTTCTCAGTGATGATGATGAATATTTCAAACAAAAATAACACTTGTTTTTGTTATATTTTCCTCACATATCAGATGCTTCAATCACCATTCCACTCTCATTATATATATATATATACATATATATAAATGCCAGAAAGGCCACAAAGGTCATGCCAAATGAGGTATACCCTTTTGAAGCAATAAATAGGAGGTCAGGAAAATAACTAAATATCTAAAATTTCAAAAAATAATTAATTATTCATTGCCCTTCCATTTATAGCCTACTCAAGTTCCGCAATGCTTATTTCACCCTCCACTTACCCTCTTTTGAATTTGTATTTTTTTTATTCCCCCAGTGAAAATTAAAATAGGTGATTTAATATGGAAAGGAACTGCCATAGTCCAAAATTGAGCTGGGATGCTAATCAAAGCCCTTGATTGGGCCTACTTTTGACATTACTTACCATTTCAATTAATACATTTAATCTCTCACAAACTTCATTTCATTTTTCCCTAAGATGAGATTCATTGCACTGAGACTTGTAGATTAATAGTGTCCAATTTTGGCATGTCAAGTCTTGTGCTCAGCCTTATTCTCATTACTCTGTTTTGGTATGTCAAGATAGCAGGATTTCTTGCCAATTCAAGATGGCTTGATGGGGCTGAGCCGGTAAATTTGTTATACATTTAATCTCTCCCAAACTTCATCTCATTTGTTCCTAAGATGAGATTCATAGCAACAAGACTTGCGGATTAATAGTGTCCAATTTTGGTGCTTGTAGTTATTCACATTACTCTGCTTTGGTATGTCAATATAACAGGATTTCTTGCCAATTCAAGATGGCTTGATGGGGCTGGGCTGGTAAATTTGTTATATAAATGATCTGACAATATAACATGAACACAACACGTAGAAGTTAAATGGATTTGGATTTAATTTGTATAATCATATTTTTTATAACAATTATGTAAATCCAATTAAAACATGAAAAATCTTGTATTTAATCCATGTTTATCGTTGACATGAAAAATTTTTTGTATCTAATTAAATTGATAACTAGAAAAATGCGCGACATAGGGATTGGTGAATTTTAAATTATGTATATCATTGTGTTCCTATTATATTCATATCAACATTATTATAAAATAAAATATTTTGAATGTATTTGATATACAAGATTATGGTGAGAAAGAATAAAATAATATTATAAATAAAATTAGACTAAATAATATTATCTTATCTTATGTTTGATGTGTGTAAGTTCAATCTCATGGATTTAAAATAATTATCTCCACTTTGAAAGGATTGAATCATCCTGTGCCAAGAGAATTAACATTCTTTGTAATCTTATCCATTTTTATTAGATACAAACCAAATATAATATAGAATTATTATTATACTATCTTATCTATTATCCTACACACCAAATATGACCATATGTCCGTAAAAGCATTTATATATTTTGTCACCCAATAAAAATATAAGGGCTTATTGAAGAACAATGGAATAATTCAGGTTTTTTTTAGTATTTTAGACTATATTTAATTTATAATTTTTAATCGACTCATTATATATAAATTCTAGTTAAATGGACACATGATAGATGAATAAATCTACTTGTAAAGTTTTTAAACTCTATTTTCGGTATATATAGAGAGAGAGGGGAATAATTCATTTTAATAATGACAATTGGCATGGTAATAAAATTTTTTGAGATAATTACATGATAATTAACTTAACCCACATTCATTCATAAAGTCATTTTTATGAGAAGGAGAATAAAAAAAATTAATTGGGACGAAGTAGCAAATGTTTTACAGATGTTTGGTGAGTAGGAGTTTGTCAAATATTTGAATGATTTAAATTTTAAAGGGTGTTGAAGGACGGTGAAGGAGGTGAGTTTCTAGTTAACATTTGTTTAAAGTGTAGGTAAAGACCTGGCCAAACTGCAGTGACATTTTGACTTAATTTTGGTCATTGAAGACTACTTTTATTCATTTGTGGCTTTCATTTTCTGAAAAGATGAACAATTGCTAAAGCAAACGACATGCAAAGGTTTCTTACCTCTTTACGCTTCTCATAATTTTGTTATTAACTAATTTAAAAAATGTCATTATCTTCACTTGAAAAATTAAAAAGAAAAAAAGAAAACCCTTTAATTTCAATGTGAACGGCTTGAATTTTAACAATTAGAGTTGGTAAGAAAAACCTATCTTGATCAAAAGCTGATTTAAAATATTTAACACATTTCTAGTATAGTTGAAGATCGATATATAAATTCGAAAGTTAAATCAATTGGTTTATGTAATTATATCTAAAAAATAATATTTAATAAGTTTAAAGTTTAAGCACTTACAACTAATTTTTCTATTCTTAGGTTACAACTTAATTTGTACAATAAAAAAAATCGATAAATAAAATTAGTACAATTTAAATTGAATTAAGATAGATTAATAGATAGCATATACAATCCTTAAGATGTAGAACTTCAAATTTCAATCTAGACTTTCAAGTTAATCTCGGTGTATATGATGAAGATGAATGACGATTGCCTCTTAGTAGGACCCTTATGATGCTAAAATATCTGTTTCTACCTAAACTGGTAAGATTTATAGGTCGATTGAGACCACAAAAACATCCTTCCTAAATGTCAACAACAGTATCATCTTGTTCCTGCTTATTCTTCTAGCCAAATTTTTTATAATAAATGCTAGCTATAGCAAGTGGAATGTTGTGAGATTCATGGCGTGCATGTCCAAAGCACCCCATCCATTTAGATCAACAAAATAGCGTAAGTCTTATAATTTAGGTGACCCAACCTGGTTACTGCCTTTTGAATATAATAAGATCATAGATTGACATTTATAGATTGACTATTATTCTATATACCAATGTTGCAGTTTAAAAAAAAATTCGCAAACAGGTTTATAAACTTGTCATGTGTCTATTTTAACTTATAATTCGTGTTGATTTTGTTATTTATGATAAAATAGACACTTGAAGAACTTATAAATCCACTTATGGACTCCAAATAGATTGGTTAGGTGGGTAAAGTGAGAAGTTCCCTTTCTTGATAATAAGGTAACTTAATCCTTTTGATCGAAGTATTATGAGAATAAAATTCTGATTATGCACCAGACTAATATGAAACAGTACTCCTTTAAAAGTAAAGTTTTAAAATAGCTATGACCACGTAAAAAAACCTAGTTATAATGTTTTTTTTTTTTTTACTATATTGTCATTCATAAAATAATTATGATAAATAGACAACTAATTCATGCAATGATCTCTACAAGTGTAGCAAGTCAAACCATTTGAAAGAGACCAAACCTCATTAATTAGTTAAAGCTTCAAAGTCTTTTGTTAGGGAAGCTAACATCATAAATTTTTTACCATTTGCTACCTAATCTTGACATAACTTTCATTCGGGTTAGTACACACTCACTAACCACGAAAGACTTTTTATGACTACCAAACTAAACAAGTCTAAAGAGAGGGAAACATAAAGGTAGAAAAAAATTTGGAGAAATTGATAACATAGGCATGACGATTTGCTTATGTTGTGAGCCTAAAATGGTGCCAATTGGCAAAACTCAAAGTCCACAAAAATTAATCTATGGAATTGTTCTAAAGTTTTTGCACTTGTGAACACGAGTGGCTCACGTACACGAGTTGTTTGATTTTCTTGTGGGGGGTTTTAGGTTGAGTTTTGGCAAAGATTGAGTAAAGAAAAATATACCAATGATGGCTGAATATATATATATATATATGTTATATATATATATATATATGAGGAGGAATCAATTTATATATTAAAAACTTTTTTAATTTTACATTTTTTTAACTTTTAATTTTAATATATTTAAAGATAAGATTAAATTATTTGTTCTTACTTTCACTTATTTTTTTATATCTCCTCTATACATATGCATATATTGCTTTATTCACTAGAGTTCAAAATGTAGACCAATTCATGCCTTTCCTCAAAGTCATCTTTTCAAATTAAATGATTGAATCATTGTTGCGACACGTCTTTTCTTTTATCTTCAGTTGGACTCTAACTAGGGGGCCAGATGTTAACCAATTGATACTGAGATTGTTGGTGGCATGTTTAAGTACTTGAGGAATTTGACAAAATTTTCTGTGTAATAGTAGCAGACATAACAGCATGGTTCATGTCCATAAAACGTCTAGATTCTATGAATTAATACGTAGCAATGACAACATACATATGCAGCATGGCATCTGTCATAATAATTTTTTGTTTGGGGGATTTGATCATTAAATTTAGTGAAAATTTTTAGAGTTGTTATCAATTTTTTTATTGGATGTGATTGGTCAATAAAAATAATTATTTTTTAATAAAAATTTAAAATTAATTAAGATTTATTTAAAAAAATTTAGATTTACGAAATCAGTGTTAAGTTTGAGAATACGGTTACAAATAAAAAAAGTGTTAGCACTCTCATGTCGTTATTTCGAAAAATGGTACCAATTAAGTATGTGTAACATTGATTTTGATGATATGATCTTGTTTATATGTAGATTTAATTTCTTAAAATTTATTTATGAAAAACATATTTTCTTGTGAAATTAGTATTATTATTTTTTTATTTTATAATTTCTTCAACGCTTTGATGAAATTTATAAAAAATTTTTATTTAAAAAATATTTTAGAAATATTGACCATTCATAAAATTATCAAAATTTCATCATAAAATATTTTATTTATTTATTAATAAAAAATTTTAAAAACATCTCGATTTTTTAATAAGTTCAGAAATCATTTTTAATTGCTTTTTTTTTATTACTTTTAAGTCTTTCCCAACTCTTTGGCAAAGTCTTAAAATATTTTAAACTGATTTTAATATCATCCAATTTTTTAGTGAGATCCTAAGACTTTTTTTTTCTTGATGAAAATTAAGAAAAATGAGACTTTCTCAAATTTTCATAAATTTTTTACTTAAAAGGTTTAATTAAACATTTAATTAATTTTATTTATTATTTATTATTCATTTTTATTGAAACAAATTTTATTTTAGTAAAATAATTTTTAGATTATCCCAACTC